AGGTCAACTCCAGGCAGCGTAAAAGAAAGGTAAAAACAACACACAAATGTTCGATATACTCCATTTTGTTTAACCCAAAGTGCAGGAAAACGTCCGAGAATTCTGAACGGTGTACTTCAATGGGTTCTCCTGTGATGCTATGGCAAATGATGTTTTAGATATACGCCTTATAAGCATTCCCCGTGTTAGTGTTATGCTTATACTAATTGTTAAAAATCGACTGCCATCTCGTTTCTCTAACACTCGGCTATATCAGATGTTTACTGACACACGTTTCTGGGTAGCTTCCTCTGGGGTTACACGAAGGAGAGATAAGATCATTTCTATCATCACCACCGTCAGAATTATTTAACATGTTTTAATATTCTCATTTTCTATGAGACGCTGTTTCCTCTTATCCGATCCTTCCCGGCCTTAACCAATCGACGTTATGACCAGGCAACAATCAGATGCATTAAGAACTCAAACATGACGAATTCATAACATGCCCATCTCGATCCAATGTTGATGATGATATAACACGAAATCGAGAGCTAAACATCACAGTTAGGTGGATGAGCAGACTCTATATAGTCTATTGGGCAGTCTTCTGCCAAACAATATTTTGTTATTCGAGTTATATATTTTTGAGGTGTAAAAGTATGTCACAGACCGTCATAGCTAGATGTTTGAGTCGATTTATTTAACAATTTACAATTTTGAATAAAAGAAAAAGAAACACCCTATTATATACATAAATCATACCTGACCCGGTCAAAACGGAGCTTTCACTTATTACAGAATAATGACGTTGACATACATTGTAGCCGAGGGACGAGAGGCGTTCAGGGTCATTGTAGCCGAGGGACGAGAGGCGTTCAGGGTCATTGTAGCCGAGGGACGAGGGGCGTTCAGGGTCATTGTAGTCGAGGGACGAGGGGCGTTCTGGGTCATTTTCGGTCTCACGGAGATTGGGAACTAGTTGTTACATTCGTAGTTATAAAAGAGGTATGGAAATCTGAAATTTCATATTCAGTGGTAAAGGAGATAAGGCATTACAAAGAGAGACATGAACCCGCATTTTCGTAATAAAATGCGAGAACATTACCTTTTATGCGCTATTTGTTGAAAATTGGCAATTTCGAGGGAGTTAACTAAACACTCTGCAAATTTTAAAGCCTCCGAATGCAACAAACAAATAAATATTTGACATGCTTGAACATTGTCATACCAGTGTTCATTCGCAGAAAGGAATGTTTGTGTGTCATATGGGAGGCTTTTATTACTGCATGCTAACGCAAGGTCTGGTATGGTAGGGTATACGCATGCGCATTGAAAAAAACCACAATGCGACTGCAAACCTGATTAAATGATACTAATGGTACTGGTAGTAAAAAGTTTGGTTAATGACTTGGTTGAGTAACTAGAAGAGCGAGGCATACACTGTTGTTTAGAAGGATTCTTGTGAAGTACAGTGTAGCATAGGTGGAGTTCCCTTAGTTATCTAGCAAGCCTAGTTCTTTAAGGAAGCAGAAAATGTAACTGTGTCTGTAGACAAAGATTAAATTAAATAAAGAGGAGTGAACAACGACATTACGTTAGTATGACTGTATCATGGAGTGACAAATTCCCTACAGAGTCAATACGTGTCAAGGTGTTTTATATAATGCTCACCTCGTTGTCTACGCCACGGCTACTAAGTGTAGGGTTATATACAGTTGTTTCTAAAATACGGACTGTCATAGACAGAAAAGAGTAGTCAGGGAGATTGAAATATTTAAATAAACATTGATTTACTCCGCTATTCACTGCTGAACGATAACTATTCAAATGGTTTGGTTTGTCTGTAGGACGTGCCAGGTTTTGATGGTGGAGGAAAGCCGGGGTTCCTGTAGAAAAAACACCGACCTAAAGCCAGTACTATTACCACTTGGCCACCGCGTATTAATCCTTTTACTTCACCAACATACACCAAACCACTAAGAGCACACTCAATACTTTCGAAACCTTTTCTTTGCGATAATGACATAAATAGGGAAAAGAACTGGATATGAAGTTGACAGAAAGAACACTGTTCCGTTACTAGATGGCGTGTTTTGAGAGCGATATTAAAGTTATGTTATTAAATCGGTATCATTATAAGTTTACTTGACGGCAGAAATAGATATAAATGATTGTGTCGAGTTTTGTTCCTGTGTTATAATTAAAAATGTAGTAACTTTCAGAGATAGTATCTCTAGTTTGGCCTGCTCTCCTGTTTTTGTCGCTTACCTTAGTACCAATTTCCGGTGTACAGTGATATTGGCTATTTAAAAAACCGGAACAATACATGGCAATAGACGGAACGGAGATACGGAAACACGGAATAATCTGAAGAATAAAAAAAAACATGTCATGAGCCTTTATAAAACAATTATATTGTATAATGTACATTATCACCCGTAGATCTTATCGTCATCTTTACAAATGTTCACGTAGAATTGTTGATATTGATAGCGCCATGATTCCTATCTGGAGATCTTTTATTTATATGCAAATAGAGATGACATCTTGCTGGTAACGGGTCCATATTAATTATGTAAGAAAACTTACAGCTATTGTGGACTGTTTTAACACTCTTTATGATGCATTACCATATTGGTATTAAGGGTATACGCTACCTTGCTATGACCATATTGGAAATATACTTCGAGTGAATGGGAAAATAATGAATTAGTTGGACGAATTTCCCACGTAGCTTTTTTCGAAAGAAAAAAATACTCTGGAATTTCTGAAAGAGAAGTGAAATTTAGTGAGTTTGGTGTTCAGTCAACATAATACAGTGTACCTTGACACATGCAATTCAGTTGTATTAACAGAACTGGATATGAAGTTGACAGAAACAACATTGTGCCGTTACTAGATGGCGTGTTTTGAGAGCGATATTAAAATTATGTTATTAAATCGGTATCATTATAAGTTTACTTGACGGCAGAAATATATATAAATGATTGTGTGGAGTTTTGTTCCTGTGTGATAATTAAAAATGTAGTAACTTTCAGAGATAGTATCTCTAGTTTGGCCTGCTCTCCTGTTTCTGTCGCTTCGCTTAGTACCAATTTCCGGTGTACAGTGATATTGGCTATTAAAAAAACCGGAACAATAAATGGAAATAGATGGAACGGAGATACGGAAACACGGAATATTTTGAAGAATAAAAAAACCATGTCATGAGCCTTTATAAAACAATTATATCGTATAATGTACATTATCACCCGTAGATCTTATCGTCATCTTTACAAATGTTCAAGTAGAATTGTTGATATTGATAGCGCCATGTTTCCAATCTGTAAATCTTTCATTTATATGCGAATAGAGATGACATCTTGCTGTGAACGAGTCCATATTAATTATGTAAGAAAACTTACAGCTATTGTGGACTGTTTTAACACTCTTTATGATGCATTACCATATTGGTATTAAGGGTATACGCTACCTTGCTGTGACCATATTGGTAATATACTTCGATACATTACCATATTGGTAATATACTTCGATACATTACCATATAGGTAGTATACTTCGATACATTACCATATTCGTAATACACTTCGATACATTACCATATTGGTAATATACTTCGATACATTACCATATTGGTAATAAACTTCGAGCGAATGGTTTTATGGTTTCTTGGTAAAATAATATATATGGAGGAAAACAAAATTAGTTGAACGAATATCCCACGTAGCTTTTTTCGAAAGAAAAAAATACTCTGGAATTTCTGAAAGAGAAGTGAAATTTGGTAAGTTTGGTGTTCAGTCAACATAATACTTCAGTGTACCTTTACACATGCAATTCAGTTGTATTAACAGAAAACCAGGAGAAGATCAGACACAGGGCAGCCGGTACGGGGTTGGGAAGGTCTCTGGAGAAGATCAGACAAAAGACTGTCGGTAAGGGGTTGAGGAAGTCACTGAAGAAGATCAGACAAAAGGCAGTGGGTACGGCGTTGGGTAAGTCACTGGAGAAGATCAGACAAAATTCAGTCGGTACGGGGTTGGGAAAGTCACTAGAGAAGATCAGACAAAAGACAATCGGTACGGGTTTGGGGAAGTCACTAGAGAATATCAGACAAAAGACAGTCGGTACGGGGTTGAGGAAGTCACTGGAGAAGATCAGACAAAAGGCAGTCGGTACGGCGTCGGGGATGTCTCTGGAGAAGATCAGACAAAAGACAGTCCGTACGGGGTTGGGGAGGTCTCTGGAGAAGATCAGACAAAAGACAGTCGGTACGGGGTTGGGAAAATCACTAGAGAAGATCAGACAAAAGACAATCGCTAGGGGGTTGAGGAAGTCACTGGAGAAGATCAGACAAAAGGCAGTCGGTACGGGGCTGGGGAAGTCTCTGGAGAAGATCAGACAAAAGACAGTCCGTACGGGGTTGGGGAGGTCCCTGGAGAAGATCAGACAAAAGACAGTCGGTACGGGGTTTGAGAGGTCTCTGGAGAAGATCAGACAAAAGACAGTCCGTACGGGGTTGGGGAAGTCTCTGGAGAAGATCAGACAAAAGACAGTCCGTACGGGGTTGGGGAAGTCTCTGGAGAAGATCAGACAAAAGGCAGTCCGTACGGGGTTGGGGAGGTCTCTGGAGAAGATCAGACAAAAGAGAGTCGGTACGGGGTTGGGAAAATCACTAGAGAAGATCAGACAAAAGACAATCGGTACGGGGTTGAGGAAGCCACTGGAGAAGATCAGACAAAAGACAGTCGGTACGGGGCTGGGGAAGTCACTGGAGACGATCAGACAATAGACAGTCGGTACGGGGTTGGGAAAGTCACTGGAGAAGATCAGACAAAAGGCAGTGGGTACGGGGGAGGGGAGGTCTCTGGAGAAGATCAGATAAAAGACAGTCCGTACGGGGTTGAGGAGGTCTCTGGAGAAAATCAGACAAAAGGCTGTCGGTACGGGGTTGGGAAAGTCTCTGGAGAAGATCAGACAAAAGGCAGTCCGTACGGGGTTGGGGAGGTCTCTGGAGAAGATCAGACAAAAGTCGGTACGGGGTTGGGGAGGTCTCTGGAGAAGATCAGACAAAAGGCAGTCCGTACGGGGTTGGGGAGGTCTCTGGAGAAGATCAGACAAAAGGCAGTCGGTACGGCGTCGGGGATGTCTCTGGAGAAGATCAGACAAAAGACAGTCGGTACGGGGTAGGGGAAGTCACTGGAGAAGATCAGACAAAAGGCAGTCGGTACGGGGTTGGGGAGGTCACTGGAGAAGATCAGACACAAGGCAGTCGGTACGGGGCTGGGGAAGTCTCTGGAGAAGATCAGACAAAAGGCATTCGGTACGGGGTTGGGAAAGTCACTAGAGAATATCAGACAAAAGACAATCGGTACGGGGTTGGGAAAGTCACTGGAGAAGATCAGACAAAAGGCAGTCGGTACGGGGTTGGGAAAGTCACTAGAGAAAATCAGACAAAAGACAGTCGTTAAGGGCTTTGAGAGGTCTCTGGAGAAAATGAGACGAAAGGCTGTCGGTACGGGGTTGGGGATGTCTCTGGAGAAGATCAGACAAATGACAGTCCGTTCGGGGTTGAGGAGGTCTCTGGAGAAGATCAGACAAAAGACAGTCGGTACGGGGTTGGGGAGGTCTCTGGAGAAGATCAGACAAAAGTCGGTACGGGGTTGGGGAGGTCTCTGGAGAAGAACAGACAAAAGACAGTCGGTACGGGGTTGGGGAGGTCTCTGGAGAAGATCAGACAAAAGACAGTCGGTACGGGGTTGGGGAGGTCT